ACATCGGCACACAAGACTAGAATTCATCAGCCTCCTCACTTTTGATTTCCATTATTCTATAATTGTTATTGCTTTTATATATATTGTCCAGTTTACTTAACCGTTTGCTCCTCCCTAAATTAGACCGATTCACACCTCTCCAATTTCTCTTTTCTTCCTATTTACCTCCCACTATAACGTCAGGATAGCCTAATCTCTCCATGGAACTCCCCATGACTTCGGTTCAGCCTATTCTTCACCTCCCCCACCTCTTCCGGTCACATCAGTCCCTTGTTCCTCCTCCTTATCCCTTTCCAGTGTTTGATACTCACTTACCAAACAATCCGGCAAAAATTTTACAATTGATTTACCATTACAGAGTTCACAATTCAAAATTCACTTACCTCTTGTTTTCGAGTGTGGTGTCGGATCGCAGTGACGGATCTCCTTCCAAATAACCTTCCTCATCTGTAGTTGTACTCCGACGAGGTCTCTCACGCTACCTCCTCCATCTTAGTCTTTCGAGAGTCGCTTCACCTCTTTTCCTCCTCACTCGAGCTTCCTCCCTTTTCTTTCTACTAACCTCACCCTAAAACCCTTGTTGTGTTACAGAAGAGAAGAAGAAAAGGAAGGTTGTTCGTGCAAGGCCTGGGGTTTGGGCTCGGGTGGGTTTTTTTTTTTATTGGGCCGAATGAGACATTGGGCTTGCTGGGTGTTACAGTACACCAATAAAAAAAAAAAAGGAAACACAAGTTAACAATCCAAGAGACATGTTCTCTTCTCTTCACAATTGTGTACTTTGAAATGCTCATGGATCAATAGCTGCACCACAAAATTTAGGATCTTGGCCAACTCAGTATGAGAATTTCTCTGCATGCTTGAGCAATCAATGCTGTACAAAATATGTTACATTCAATTTTAGCTTCATGTTTCCTATCAATATCCATCCCTGTGAGCTTAATCTTAAATCCCAACTTCCAATCATTGGAAAGAAACGAAACACATGCGTGACATGCGCATCCATATGCATATGCAGCCAGAGATTGTAGAGGTGGTGCCAATCTGTTGACATATCAACTTCAAAGTCTCTATCTAAAAAAACCACGTCCAAGTTCCCCATGCGATAATCAAACAAACTAACATATAATTTCCTTCCCCAAGTAATATATTTGCCTCTCCCTCTCTCTTCTTACTCTTGCATAGCCCAATAAATTACAAGAAAAACTGGTTTTGTATCATGTGGTCACTGTTTGCTCCCTAGTGAGTTGACCTCCAAAAGAAAAAAAATAGCTTTCCAAAACCAGACTGACAAAGCTTTGAGCAGAGAGACCAACATTGAGGTCTCCAATCAAACACCTTGACACCATAACTCACCTTTAAAAAGAAAAAATGTGTCAACTCTGGAAAAGTGACTTGTAGAAGTCTGAGCAGACACTACGTTAAGTGAGACAGACTTTACCAGCTTTGCCTCATTACACCCAGCCGCAAGCAATTTTAATAGCATTAATTGACAGAAGAAAACAAATGACAGGAACTTGTCATCTAAAGCTACCAGCTTAAATTAAGTCAAATAGTAACATAGGCTAGAAAAACTCCTCTAAGTTTCTGTTGTCTGCAATGTTGAAAGGAACAGGTTTTTAAAATATTTGCTACTGTTAACTTGCGGGGAGTTTAGATAGGAGTTGCAAAATGTGTGTAGCAATAACTTAGCACGTTCAGTCAAGGTTGAACCAATAAGATAATGTCGCACTATAGAATTAGAAGACTATGTGCAGAGAAAACCCAAGAAATAAGCAGAGAGAAAATCTACACGAAAGAAGTATATTAAGCATCAATAGATGATAAACATGGCATTCGATTTCCATTAAGAAGGTCTCCAAACTTGCAAACCTTTCTTAAGCAAGAGTTAATTCTTGCCTCAACTCTTCTTATTTGATATCCTTCCTATAAGTGCTTTAGGGCTTTTAACGTTATATTCTTTCTTTCATGTTGCTTCTTTTTACTGCCAATAAATTTGTATTTTACAAATTCTCTTTGAGCTTTCTCTAGGCCCTTCTTATAAATGGACTCCTAACATTGTGGTTCCACCAAATATGAAAATTCCACCATAAAACGTTTTCGTGATTCTTCTATCTTTATATTACCTTCCTTTTCTTACTTAACAGCAAATATGTCCTAACATTCTTACACTCTACCAGGAAACCATTACCTTGAAAACCTTAATTTGCAGACTAAAATCAACAATTTCTACTCTAGTGCCAAGAAGTAAGAAGCTTTTTAAAAATAATAATTATAATATGTGAATTATATTCAAGAGCACCAAGATGGTGCAACCCCATATACAAGTGAGAAGCCTTTTTTCTATAATTAAATAATTTCTTTAAGCATCCGGAAATATCCTTGCTGGTTGTATCAGACATTGTTTATGAGTTGAAGTATTAAATATCCACAAAATGTGCTATCAGATAAAAACACCACAAGCAAACAAATTGTAAAGCATCAGATTTAAAACCTGATTTCCGGGCTTTAGCAATCTCTTCCATTGCATCAATGCTCATCACGTGGACAACATAAAGAGGAGTGTTAACAAAACCAGCCAAACGAATTGCTCGAGCAGTTGCCTCCCCTTCTAGCTGTGGTAATTAAGATAAGAGCTTGAGCTAGCTTCTACTAGAAATAAGACAAACATACTACTCTCAATCACACATAAAAGAAACAGCTAAACAGAACTGCGAATATTATGTAATCTACTATTCAAGTAAATATACGTATATATATATTATCCATATACATATATAAGTATATTTTTTTTTGAAATATAAAGTGTAAAGAATAAAATTAAAGCAGAAGCACCAAAAGGGCGCAATCCATATACAAAACTATTTACATCTCAGTAATGCTATCTATGACATGTCCAAAATCTTCTATTCTATACATGTCATGCCCCAAAAAAAAAGAGCCAAAAAAGTAAAAACAACTATCCTTAATCTTTACAATATCCCTCTCAACCCTATCAAACACCCTCTTATTCTCTCTTTCCAAATCATCCAAAAGATAATTAATGGGATAAGTTTTAAACATTTCTTCTTCTCCCATATCCCACCCCATGCCCACAACTCCTCCACTGAACCTGCTCCAACCCAACTAATACCCAACAAGCCGAAAACCATCGACCATAAATGATGAGTGATATTTATGTACATAAATTTATTTATGTAGACGTGGATGTAGATATTTACATCTGTATACCTACTAATATAAGGTTTCCTTCTATTGAATCATTTTTATGGGTTGACAGTAGAAAATATTTTATGGAACAGCAATATAACTTCAACAAGAACTTGTATCTTTCCCCTTCTTAGCTGTTGGTAGTATCATCTTACTTAAAAAATTAATCAATCAATAACAATTGATAACTAATATGTATTTCCTCATGCTGTACAAAGTTTCTATATCAATAAATATTTTCATGCAATGTCCTTTAGTTTCTTTGATTGCTAAATTTTTAAACTAGAGACTGACTCCAACTTTTGCTAGTTCAATAATGTCCAAGGAGCTCATAAAAGCAATCCTTTACATATGGGGTTTTCTTCCTATCTTGAAGTTGAAACTGGTTGGTGTTTAGTACTGTTTACAAAGCATCTGATGTTTATTATTCCCTTAGTCCTGAGAAAATAAAAATAAAATAAAATAAAAAGATCTACAGCTGGGGCAAAGCATCAAGTCATGGGCCAAATAGATTACGAAGTTTCAAATGCAAGATCAGAGAGATTCATGAGAAAACACAGAGTATTGATCTTTTATAGATCCTATCTCTTGCTTAAACCTTGAAAACAAGTTGTTACATGAGAGTGTTTTCCTCAAAGATGCATAGATTAGTCATTCTCCCATTTCATTAATAGATTCTAAAATGTAGAGAAGTTTTTCTTTGAAAAAGTGATCTTGGAGCTTTATTTGAATTTAGGTCCCTTGAATCTCTCTGCTACCCAAACCCATAAGCTGCTTTCAGATGCGAACCTCATAATAAGTTCAAAACATAAAATTTAAGGCGAAACCAAAACCAATATCGAACCAATTTTAGTGATCCTAGTACCTCGCCCAAAATCAAAATACATTCACTACCTAAAACTAAAGAATATCATTTTGAAAAAAAAAAGTAAATAACTTCAATAAATTTTCTTCATATATTAATTCATAATTTTCATAATATATTACAAACATATAAATAAAAAAGAAGATTTTAGATATGGTAACTTGTCACAACGGTGATGTAGAGTGACTCTATGCTACAGTTGTGACAGCTTTCACAACCCTCCCTAAGAACATAATGGATAAACTTCGACAACCCTTACCCAGTTTGTAAGAATTCTTTTATGAAAAACTCACTCTGTTTCTTTTGTTTTGGATCTGTTCAGCCACCTGAAAAAACTTCATCTGTTGTATTCCTATCTCATCAAAAAACAAGGTCAGGCGATTCTCACCAACATAATCTACATTACTTTGGTCTTACAAAATCAGTTAATGGAAGACCATAAAAGGAGTTTCTTCCACCAGATCATATTTCTGTGTGAAGAATGGCTATCTAAAGAAGTAGTCTAATAACCAGAATTTATGTCCATAGCCTTGTAAAACAGTACTCGTGGCAGCCCACTAATAACAACAAGAATAGCAAGCTATTCAAAAGGAGATAACAAAACAGCTAGTCATGAAGATTAGGCAGATTAAATGTTTAAATATCACCTGGGGTACAATAGAAGAAAATATTTATGACAACAACTAGTTAAAGCAATGAAAATATATTTAAGATTACCACTGAGGGCCTTGAAAGAGCATGTCCTTCTGGACCTGTAATACCAAGGTCGATCATTCTTTTTTGTCCTTCAAATACAGCATCTCCATTTTCTGCGTGGACCATTGCCAAGGCACCAAGAGACTTACACCTCTTGAATCCTTCTAATAGAAGCTCATCATTGATCATTAGGGATCCCTTATACGCCATGAAAAACTTGAAAGAATTCATACCTAACAGTTTGCACGCATATATCAATACCTATATACCTCAATTAGGAGTCAGCGGAAAAACACATAGAAGCAGTTTCTTGTTGTCAAATAATTTAAGGCCAAATAACATCTAACTGAATTAAAAAATCTTACCTTTCTCCTTAACCATAATTTCCATGTCCCTGGATACATCTTCATCCCATTTTGTAATTGCCATATGAAAACCATAATCCATGCAAGACTTTTCTGATTTCTTTTCATAGGATTCAAAACCTGCCACTAAATTTCCATTAATTGGTATAACAAAGTCTATGTGCATTGTTGTTCCACCAGCTAATGCTGCCGCCTGACCACTGAAGAAGTCATCGATAGTCTCAGTTCCCATAAATTCCATGGCTAGGTGCGTGTGAGGATCAATTCCTCCTGATCACATTAGAAGAAAAAATAGTGGAACTGGATAAGATTTAATCTAATTGCATGCCAGCATAGAAACAAGTAATGTGCAGAAAAAGGTAAATTCCTTGGAATGAAATTCACAATAAATCAATTAAATGACTTTCATATTTCAGATTAATGTATGCATATTATGTTCCAGAGGATTGAATAAACAGAGATTGAAGAACAACAAATAAACCCAATGTGAGTACCATTACATATATACCTCTCAGATTCCAAGATATTGAGTATTCACAAGATTGGATTCCATATTAAAAGCAAATTATACAATCATTCTAAGTAATGAGACTAGTTACTCACAGCAATAATTAGATGGCTTGCTATGAACTTAGTGCATGTAAAAACCTAAACAAATGCACAAGCCAAGGGATCCACAGAACCAGCTATTCTGAACACCCAATTATGCATAATAAACGGGTAAATAAGGAAAGAGTGAGGCAGAATTTATTGTTGATATTGCTTCTCTAGAAAATTTTATTGCTTATATTTTTAACAGATGGAAAGATGATAGAACTTCAAAAGATCTGGTAAAAGTACATTAAGTATCCAGCAGTATATTGCACCAGGGCAATATCTAGTTCATCGCATGTGCATAAGTTCATTGTTTATGCACCAATTACAGCATCTTCATTTAAAAAGAAAGACAGTAGAACATGCTCTATAAATTTACTTCATTTCATGAATTTCAATAAAAGAAAAATTGTAAAAAAAAAAAAAGAAAGACTTCAATGATTACTGCCGTGTACTGATAGAATAAATAGTTAACCTGGCATGACAAATTTTCCTGTAGCATCAAGCACAGTGACATCTTCACCAACCTGTCCAAAGTAGCCAGAAATTTGGATGCCAGTGAAAATTATAAAATAGAAAAGAAAGCAGATTTTAAAGTACATGACAAGTGAAATAAACACGAGGGAGATAGAAAACAATTTAGAATAGAAGTAGGGATCCTAAGTTTCATCTGCACTTGTCATAGCACAACTGATAAATATTAGAAGCTCATAATAAATCCCGTATAATTAGACCAAAGGCCAATATTATTCCAATCATTTTTAACCAAACTACTTTCAGCTTTTAGCATCAGGTTATGTCCAAAATTTGCATATAATTTTTGGTTAGATTGCTGTACCCCTCTCTTCTTCACTATTTAAAACTTTCATTGCCGAGAAAGTAGAGAGTTTCTACTCTTTCTATAACCAGCCAACATAAATTTCCCTTCTGATTATTCAGAAAATGCTATTCCATTTCTCCACCTAAACCAGTTATTCCACTAAAGGATTTAACAGAGAATGTTTGAACAGGACCTGATTGAGTGACTATAAATATGCTCTCCATTCTTTCACTTTTTTGGCTAAAAGATTTTAGAAGTTTAAAAAATTAATAACAAAGTTTTCATCCTGTTATTAGCTATTTAACTTATGATTCTATTAATAAAAGGATAATTACACAATATTTTCATAATCAATCTTTTCCGTTCTTTTACTTTTCTCCTTCTTCTTTGCTAATTTGACCAAAAATAGACTTACTAATATTTATTCAAACATAGTGCAAATGACAAAAGAATTTTACCTTGAGATTTCGCTGCACTGCAACAATAATCCCATTCTCTATATAAACATCAGCTAACTCTTGCTGATGAGCATTAACAACTGTTCCTCCCTTTATTAATATCTTCGTTGTTGATGAGAATGAAGTTCCACAGGTTGGTGAACCATATGCAATCCCAGCATCACAGAACTGGAACAGAAACACTCTTATTGAATACAAAACAATCTAATCCGTCATTAAAATCTCTTAATGGATTAGACTGAGACGAGATGAATATGTATCAAATGAAAACCGAGTTGCCGAGTTGCATATTTCGCAACTATCCGATTTTAGTTATAACAAACTACTAATACGTAATTTACCCCCAAAAAAAATTAGAAAAACAACAGGAAAATGAACTAGAACTCAACTTGACTTAACCGAAACAATCGAATCATATTCACAATTCAACAGACTATGAGGGAACCAAACAGACAATCAATTAATTACCACTACGCTTTTTCTTCAACTAATGTCAACTAAGGAAATTGTATACGAATAATAACAACATCTACCTAGAGCGGGAACAAAAATAGAAACAAAATTTTCCGATTCATTCTGTTTGGTCCATTTTTCTCGGCAAACAAACAGAAACTGAAACTTCAAATTCTCTAGTAAAATACCTGGCTCGAATCTGATCTCGAGAGGGATGAAAAGAGAACGAGGTTGAGAGAAAAGAAAGAGACGACGAGTTGAGCAGCGAATCTAAGCGCCATGGCTGAGTCACTACGGTGGACTTGGGTTCTCTCTTAGAGTGAGAGCTGACTGGTAATATTCTTGTTGAACTGGTAGCGTCTGCCACGCGGCATATACGGCGCATAACTCCTGTACTCGGTTGGCATTTCAAAACGTCAACGTTTTGGCGTCTTTGATTGATTGGTTTAAAAGAACAAATTGAAAATAATGATAATTTTAAAATTTTAAAATAATTTAAATAACTGAACTCTTACACACGTGTTAAGCGTGTAGAATTGTTTTATTATAAATTTATTTAAAGAGAATTATTATAAAATATTCTTGTATTTTTATTGTTTATGTGAAATTTATTAAATTAGTTAGTTTCTCGTGTTTTTTTATTGTATTAAATCGATATTAATTTTTAATAAATATATGTCTGCATTAATTATAATCAGATATATATATATATATATAGTTTGAGCAATTATCATATTAAATCACATCACTAAAGCCAATTTCAATAATTTCAAAAATTAATTGAATTATTTTTTAGTTTATTAATTTTAATTATGTATTTAATTACATAATTAAATGAATAAAAACCGTATCCATGACATATAATTAATTTAATTACTTGTATGTATCGATTTTGAAAATAATTAAGATATGATTAAACTTATTATTTAATAATTTAATACTAAAATTGCTTCAATTAAAAATGCAATGAGTAATTTGATACAAATGGCAAAATATATGGAGATTTTATGTTAGTTACCATTTATTTTAAAATAAAATTTTCTAGAAATTATAGTTTTTTAGCTTTATTAATAAATTAATATACAATGTTACACTATACTAAAATTAAAATAATAATATAATAACTAAGCATACATATTAAAATTAATATACAAAACACAACGGTTAGAAAAAAAAATAATTATAAAAATATTTAATATTTCGACAATATAAATAAAAAATTAATTTGAATTTTTCATCCATTATAATTACTATAATTAAAGAAACTTAATTATTACGGAATTATTTTTTCGCACGTAAATATAAATAACTTCGTTCAAATTTAGTCATAGTGATTAATTATTTACTATATTAATAAATTAAATATTATAAATCGTTTATCGTTATTCATACTACATCTATATATTTTCGGTGATATTTAAACCCGTAAAATTTAGACCGGTGACATTCAAACAAAATGAAAGGCAGTACAAAGGAGTTTAAACTTAGGCAGTACAAGTATTGTATAGTACCACTAACGATGGTAGCACCAAATTGAACCTAAAATGTATAGTACGATTTTGTACTGCATTTCAAATTTGAACCAATCATACGTGTACTGAAATTTCCCACGCCCGTGATCTCCGTCTGTTATAAATACAACAATTCGATCCAACCGCAGCCATCTGCCATTTCAGGCTGGTTAAGAAATTACAGAGGCGGAATCAAGATAAAGAAAGAGGTAGAGGATTCCGACGGGGACGACATGAGATCACACGAAAGGAAGCCCGCAGAAGGACAAAACCGTAAATGTAATCTGGTGGTATAATCCTCTGTGCTTCGTGTGTTCTCAGGTCGCCCCTGCTGGGATTCCCTCTACCGTACGATTGATGACGGATGATGCTGACGGTTGATTCTTAAGGTGCTGATTTGATTAACTTTGCTCGTTGGATTGGGTGGAAACATTGGATTCTGATTTTCTTTTCTTTTCTTTTTCTTTTTTTGGTTTCTGATTTAGGATTAATTACACTTTTGGCCCTCGATTTGGTGCATTTTCTAAAATGGTCCCTAATTTAAATTTTTTTAAATTAAGAATACAATTTTTTTATTTTATATTCAATTTTGCCCTTAAATATTTTATTTTACTTTTTATATAAATTCATATTCTTTTTCTAATTTTATTTTTGTAACTTTTTGTTTTTCCTTATATAATTTTACATTTATGAATAAAATGCACCGAATAAAATTTCAAGATTATATACATATACATATATACACATATATATATATATATGTATGTATGTATAGTAATTATCTAGATCCCATTATTAACAAAAAAAAATTGGATCATGGGTATGCTTTGGAATCTTCAAAACGAATTAATATTATTAATTCAAATTAAATTGATAAGGCCATTAATTTAAATTAACATTTGGCATTTAATTATAATAATTATAAGAAATTATTTTTTTACGAACACACATAAATTAATTGTATTATTATATGATAAGATCTAAAATAAATTATCTGATTTTTTTTTTATTTCCTATATATGTGTATATCAATTTAAGTAAAAATTTAGATTAAATTATAACGTAATGTAGCATTAATCTCTCTTAATTAGATAATTAGTACTTCACTTTATTTATAAGAATTTTGATATATTCGTGTTTTATATGTTTGCATCAAACAATGAATAAAATGAATTAATTTAAATTATTAAATTACTTTATAAGGTTCAACACTTATTGCGATTTTATTTCTAATATATTTTTTCAAAAAAAAAATACC